TTATTATATATATATATATATATATATATATATATATGATTAGAATTTTCTAAAACTATAAATAACAATATATGATGAAAAGTATAGAAATACATTATTAGCAATTTTATTTTTATTCTTTATTATTAAATATTTTTTGTTAAAGCAACTTGTCTAATGATGTATTGGGTTTTGATTGTGAATGGGTAAATGAAGGACCTGTTTCTTTACTTCAACTTGCTACATTTAATGGAGTGTGTGGTCTTTTTCGTATTAGTAAAATAGGATATATTCCTCAAAAATTAGAAGTATGTAATATTCTATAAATTTAAATTAATATATAAATTAAATATTATGTTAAATTAATAATACAAATTTTCTTAGGAGCTGCTAGCTAATAAACGTATTCTTAAAGTAGGAGTTGCTTCATATGAAGATGGTCAAAAAATTATAGCAGATTATGGTTGTAAAGTTTGTAATACACTTGATTTAAGGACATTAGCAGAACGTGTGAATTTACCAAGTCCAAAAAGTTTAGCTGCAATGAGTTTGCAATATTTAGGTTTGGAAATGGATAAACTAATAAAAGTAAGGTGTAGCAATTGGAATGCTGGCACTCTTACTGACGAACAAGTAGCATATGCTGCTTGTGATGCACTTGCATCTGTTCTTATTTATGACCAAGTAAAATATAATTTATAATGAAAAATTTATTAATATTATTTGAAAAAATTTTATTTATGAGAAATATATATAACATAAATATCCATATTAAATTATTTTTATTATATTTTATAGATTATGCAAAAAATAAAAGAAAAATACTCTTTGTGGGAAAACTTATTAAATTATATAAAAAGTATATGTAATAGAAATTTAAATATGCAATTTTATTGTTTACCTAATGATGTAATTGATACAAGGTAATATTTATTCTTGAGTATTATTATTAATGCAGAAAAGTTTGTTTCAATATCTTATATTTTATATATAATTTTATATATAATTATATTTTAGGTTCAGAGCTCAACAAACACATATAACAGTTAATCAAAAAAATATTGAAAATAATTATTTTGATAAGATTACCAAAGATTTAAAGATAAAAAACATTGTACATAAAAGTAATATACCTACAAGAAATAAACCATTATATCATAATTGTTATTTACAAGCACCTGATGGAGAAATATTATGTACATGTGATCGTAAGAAAGCAGAATGGTACGTTACAAAAGAATTAGGAGAAATAATTGAAAATGAACCATTTACTGTAAGATTGAAATTTGAACCTTCTGGACGTGCTTTGGGAGAAGTTGGACAATATTATACACAAGTTAAAATTAATCAATGTGTAGTTTGTGGAACTTCAAATAAGTTTATTAGAAAAAATGTTGTACCTCGAGAATATCGTAAATATTTTCCATGTGAGTTATATGTTTAAAATTTAATTTGATTTATTTGTATTAGAATAGAATATCAACAAATTTAAAAATCAATGTAATTTTTTAGTGGTGATGAAAGCTCATCAATCTCATGATATATTATTATTATGTCCATCCTGTCATGAAATAAGTAATTGTCATGATCTGCAGCTCAGAAGAAAGTTAGCAGATATGTGCGATGCTCCTTTAGCTGGTCCATTAACACATATACGTAATAAACATGTAAATAATTATAGAAAATTACATTCTGCTGTTAAAGCACTGAAAGAGAGAACAACTTTACCTGATGCACGACGCAAAGATTTAGAACACTATATTTCGGAATGTACAAATGGACAACAAGTTACACCAAGTTTACTTGATGCATTAAATAAGGAATTAAAAAATGTTATAATTTCATTGCCTAATTATGATCAATTTAAATGCCAACCTCATGGCTTAAAGGTATTATGAATAAATAATGAATATCAAATTGTAAAGTTTCTTTAATATATTAATGTTTGCAGGTAGTTCAATATTTCCAAAAAAGGGAAGGGGGATTAATAGAATTGGAGCGTATGTGGAGAGAACACTTTCTTTTGACAATGAAGCCAAAATATCTACCAAATTTATGGTCTGTTCGTCATAATCAAGAAAGATTAACTATTCGTCAATCTCAGAACAGAATTGAGCCAAAAGATGCAAAGGTAGCTGGTTTGGCATACTGAATTTTATATATTGCGTATATAGGAGGACTCGTATATGAGCGAGTACTTGTATTAAAAGACTGCTACATAAATCTGTATATCTTTTATGTGCATATATTTATATACATGTGCATATACATATTATTTATATATTTAGATATGTACAGATATATACAGATATACATAAGAAATAATGTTTTTCATTTTCTACCCAATTGATTGAAATTCATATAAATACATTAACTTATAAAAAAAAAATTGTAATTTATAAAAAGAAACTGTAAATAATGCTTCCATCTATTTAAATATATTTTAACCAATTATAAAATAAGTTTTATTATAAATTAGATTTTGTGGAAATATCCGATTATTATTTATTATTTTATATTTTTATATTTTATTTGCAATTAAAATATCATTACAAGCATATATACAGACTTCAAAGATATATCAATTAAATTTAGACTACATAAAAATATATTAAAGTCGTCTTGACGCGTTTTGTTCGGAGTTTCTATTCGGAGGAGGAACTTTCATATTTTTTATTCTTCATCAATGCGTTCTTTAGCACGTACAATTTTTGATTGAATATAAAATGAACCACCTTTTGATCTGTCATTAACATCCATGAGATGTTTATAGTTACGTTCAATGGCTTCTATTTGATCCACTCGTTCAACATTTAAAATCTGTAATGCTTCTTCTAAAGAAATACCAGTTTTATAATTTGTTGCAGCATGTTGAGCACCTCGTGTTCCACCGCCTGTTTTACGTGCAGCTGCTTGACTTGCCGCAATTTCTTCTCGTAATGCTCGTGCGAATGCTCTAAACACGACTTGCGTTCCCATTATAATTATTTGTACTAAGTGTTTTGCCATAACCTCTTTTCTTAATGAAAATAGTTGTCAAAATAATTTTAGATACAATTTTTTCTTTATAATTTATCTTTTACAAAATATTTATATCAGACAAAATTTGTTTTTATGATATTCAAATATATATACTATTGTTTTCAAATTTTACAATAGTTTCCTTATATAACTTATTTCTTACACGTTTTGCACTTGTATTGCACCATTTCAGAACACATCGCTCATATATGTATTTACTATACATACATACATTAATTATTATTATATATATATTAAGTTTTTAATTCAAAGAATCATATTTATAATTGTTACAAAAATTTTTATTGTATCTTATTTATCAAAAATTTCATATGATATTATCTATTTTTATAAAAGATTTGTAGTAAGTATATTAGGTTAGAATTAAAACAATATTCATAAAAAACAATACTTATTAAATATATATTAGTTAATATTATAATTAAATAATATTATAATTAAATAATTAATTCAATAATTCATAATTATTATTACTTAATTATCATTTAATAGTTTTATATTTACACTTTGTTGGTCAATTTTAATGTGAAGTAAAGTAGAATCTGTCTTTAAACTTCTTACTAGATGAAATAAAAGCATTTTATTTATATATTTTGAACATTAAATATATGTTCAGTCAGGTATAGGCAGTGTATTAAAATATTTTAATGCATTAACTGCACAAGAATCTTCTAAATTATACAAAGGATGAATTATTTTTACTAAATTTATGTTAGATGATCCAATAATTAATGGCCATGGAGAATTTTGTGCAATTGATAATCCACTAAGTGCATAACATGTATGATATACATCTTGACTTCTGAAATAAATATAAGAATTTATAAAATGGCTTTTATGATAAATAATATTAATGTCTCATACTTTCCAGGCTTGTCCACAAGACTACCATAAGGATGCTGACAGCAAATTAATAAATATTCTTGTAAGGCCTCTTGATTAAACAACCAATATGCAGAATTGAACACTTTGTTTTCCATAGTTAAAATTGTATGAATTAATGGAAAAGCTCCACCTTGCCAAAATGAATAACAACCATCTACTAATTTCTCTGTGCGTCCTTGGAATCCACCTTCTAAGCGCATTTGTTTATTTACTATCCACCTCTGAAAATAAATATATGTAAATAGTAGAACTTTTTAATATAATATTTGTTATAATAATAATTCAATACCAAAAATGATTTCAAACAACAGAAATGAGGTTTTCCAAGAAGCACGAGTGCTGCTAATCCACAAAATCCATATCCTCCATGAGCTTCCATGCCAGGAGAACCACCAAAACCACCTTCCCATGTTTGACATTTAGCTATCCAACTTTCACTTTCTTTAAATATTTCAGGAGTATATACATTTGTTAGTTTTGCTACAGAAAGAGCACAATAAATTCCTCTTATATCCGTTTCTCCATCTTTATGCAAACTGAAAGAACCATCTTCTCCATGTAAAGATGATAAAAATTGTTTAAGTCCTTTTCTAAAATCAAATATACAAGATTATATAAATAGTATTTTAAAAGAAAATCTTTTGAAATACAATTTTAAAAATTATATTTATATTTTTCGTATATATATGTATATATATACCTATTAATTACTTGATAAGCTTGAGGTGTACCGATAGTGCATAATGCATTTATTGCTGCATATGTAGAGGCTAAATGAGGATGCTGTCCTGGACCTCCTCCAAAACCTCCTTCTGGTGATTGACATTTGGCTAAAAAACTAATAATTTTAGAATATTCATCATATTCTAAACGTTCCCCTAAAATTTGAAGAGAATGAAGACTCCAATAACACAACCATGGTCTACTAGAATCTAAACACTAAAAAACAATATATATATACTATATTATAATAATATTTTAAATACAATATATTATTAATAAACATAATTTAAAATTATTTTTACCTGATAAGCTTCACTAAGTTGAAACAAAGATTTTTTTAAAAATTGAATATGTTTCTGTCTTGCTAAAAGAGGTTCATTATTTAATTTATATAATTTTAATATATCATTTTCAACACGATCCTATAATCATATTAAATCAATATTAAAATATTTAAAAAACATTAATAAGAAATAAAAAAGACATATTTAATAAAGATAAGTAAGTTATTAAATATAATATTGTACATTAAATACCTGTCGTATTGAACTTGTGGTTTGATATCCTTCATCATCCTGTTTTTGTTTTAATATTTCTGCATAAGTTCTAATGTGTGGTTCATCACGTTCATTAATCATTGAATTCCACATAATCTATTAAACACATGGATATATTGCATTAACAATTAAAAGAAATAAATATTGAATTAAAACTTAAGAATAAATATAAAAAAAAGTGGGAATTGCTAAGAGACTTTAAAAGATAAAATGATAAAAAAAATATCTTTTGCTTTAAATAATAAAATTTCGCTTCTTGATGGAATTTTAAATTTTAATAAAATTTTTTCAAGTTGAATATTATATCACTATATAATGATTATATCACTTTCATGTTAAATATATAATAATTACTTGAAGATGAGAAGAAGGTTAAAATTTCTTTGACATTAACTACCACAATAGGCACAGATGAGGTACAGGATAGACATGACATTTTATGGGATTTTGTTCCATGTTCTGAAATACCGACCTCGAAAAAAACAGTGTTTCTTACGCCCTCTGCGTACATTTGTACAATTTCTATATATCATATTTTATATACAAATATTGTCTTATCTGGCATTATCTTAATTTTAATATTTATAGCGAAATATGTTTCAGATAAAAGTTCAGAATAATTTTAAGGAAAGCATATTCTGATATTATTTATGTTTTTATAGATAAATACATAGATCATATGATAAACAAATTTTTTTTTTAAGTAAAATTTTGTATATTTTGATACATTGATGTATTGTATTTTTTTTTTTATAAATTTATAAATATTAAATCATTTATATCTAAAAATCAATAGAAAACATTTAATTATATTGATAATTTTCTAAATTAATAATTTCTCAATTCATATAGTTTTAATTAAATATCAAAACTGCTTTTTGCATAAATTTTGCAGAACAAATATAGATAAAAGGAACAAACAATAAGAAAAAAGTTATAATAAAAATTGTGAAATCAGTGCTAAAGTTTCCAAAGTATCATAAATGAAACAAAATATATATAAAATAATACATATAAATATTAAAGAAACAAATTATAAAAAAAAAATAGAAACAAAGGAAGAATTAACTATCCGCGCCATCTCTTTTGAGTACCAAAGATATTTCTTCAAAATAAATTTACGAGATGACACTGATTTCTAATTCTTACTCTATTTTGTTCTATTTACCTTTGAAAAGATATATTTGATATTTAAAAGATAGCATTAAAGATCATTTTTTACTTATTTTTGTTTTTTTCCTACTATTTACTTCCTGTTAATCTGTCTAATTTATTTATACTTTATTTATAGCATTCTAGAAATAGTATTAATTCTATTATTTTTATTTTATCATTATCCTTCTGTCATTATTTGTTTTTCTTATACTTGTTTTTCAGCTGTATAATTATAATATATCTTGGATGATGATCTCGCAAAGTATGGTATATCCTGATATATGTTGTGTCTTGAATAACTCTCAAATTTCTGTAACATAAAAATAAATAAATTGAATTAAGTTATCAGTTTTATATGTTTTTTCAAATAATTATATTACATTAAATTCAAGCTTTATTTTAGGATATCAGTAATTGTAGAAATTTTTTTATATTTTTTAATAATATTTGAATGCAAAAATTAAATTTAGGAATAATTGATGGTGAAATTCATGCAAATGTAAAAGTTAATATTTTTAGTATATTATTATTTTTAAAGAAGAACATATAATTCAACATGAGTGAATCATATCAATGTAAAGATTGGAAAATTTCTTTAGCCACACGAAATAATTTATTTCATAATAACATTCCATATGTTCCTATATTAGTGGAAAATATTCTCAAATATCTTTCTTTAGAAGATCATGAAAAAAATGGAGTTAAAACAATACAAACATTAGGAAAACTTATTCCAAAAACTGAAGCATATGCTATGCTTCAATCTTTAACACCTGGAAATAAATCTGAATTTTCTATTAGTTTCAAGAACTTAAATGTTAATAATATATATATTAAAGATACAAATAATGCATATTATGCAATATGGGTATGATTTTTATTTCTTAGGATTATTTCTTTTCTATATATTCTTTTATTTGTTCCTAATTTTATGATATAATAAAATTATTTCATTATTTTATATTATAAAAAAAATTCTTTTTTTAAGCAAAAACATGATGTTTTTAAAGTATATGGAACTTTGAAGATGGAAGAATCAGGAAATGTATTAGAAGTTTCCCATTTAGTTCCAGTATATGATATTGAGGGTACCTATAATTTAATGACATTATTAATGACAATTGCACGTACAGAATACCGTCAGTAAGTAGATCTTGAAAAGAAAGCAATTTTTCTTTAATTTTAAATTGTAATTTTTATTTTTCTTTCTTATTTTTAATTCTTATTTTTCTTAGATATTATCGTACCAAAGAGCAAAATAATAAATTACAAGAACAATGGCTTAAAATGGGAAAGGAAAACAAAAGACTTACAAAAAAAATTCCATGAAAAGTATTATTGTAAATATTATTTATAAATACATGCAAATGTATATATTATATGATAATGTATCTTATTATTAAAAATATATATCGAATTATTAATATTTTTAATAAAAATATATGAATATATGCATCCTTGTCAAAAGTAATTTATTTGTAATTTAAAAAATTTATATATAAATTATAATTTATATATAAAATATAAAAATATATGGACAGATTGTAATTTTGATAGAAAAATGATGAAATGTTCAATTAATGTTCGTAAATATTTTTGTAAAATAATAGAATGTATAATAATAATATAATATTTCATCTATACTTTTAATTCTTATCGATGTTTGATTACATTACATTCCACTATTAACAACAAAATAAATATAAATCAATAATATATTTATATATATTTTCGTAATTTTTAAAATGTTTTTATGCTTTTTTTGTAATGGTTCATTTATTTAATTTTTTCGAAATTATACATCGAAAAGTTATTATCGTATCGAAAAAAATTTTTGTTCTATTCTTAACCTTAATCTTTATTAGGCTATTACAATGTTCATGTTTCTATATTTTACAATCACCACTTTAATTGTATTTATATTTTCTAATTATCTTAATTTTATATATCTTTTTGACATTTATAAACAGTGGCTTTTTAATGATATTAATGATTTCCAATTATATGATTTTATTGTTGGTATGTTAATATGTTAATAAATTTATATATTTTAAAAATATAATTAATTAATATATAAAAATTATATATTTTAAGAATATATATAAATAAATTTGTTTGAAATATTATAAAAAATAAAAATATTCTTTTATTTAGTTGGAGCTGGTACTGCAGGTATAACTTTAACTACAAGACTAGCCGAACATGGATATAAAATATTATTACTTGAAGCTGGAGGAATTGCACCACCTTTTTTAGATATTCCACTTTTAGCTCCTCTAATTCAAAACAGTCCATATGATTGGCAATATATCACTATACCTCAAAAGAATGCTTGCAAGGGTTTAAACAACAATGTATAATAAAATAATTAACTATACATTATGAAATAAGATGTATTATTAAAAATTCATTTATAGCAAAGCAAATGGCCAATTGGTAAACTTCTTGGTGGAACTAGTAGATTAAATTACATGCTCTATGTACGAGGACATCCTTTAGATTATAATGATTGGATTCCAGATTTTATTGGTAATTTTCAGTTTCTTGTTATTTTATATCTATCATTATTATTATATTCTGAAAATATTTTAAGAACCTATCAAAAAGAAAGGTGGTTCAATGCATATAAGTGATTTAGAATGGAATACTGGTCTTGCTGATATAATCTTAAAAGGACTGCAAGAATTACAGCAAGATATTGGCAATATTAATAATAATTTAAAAAATGGTAATTATATAATAAAAAAAATATAGTTTTGTGATATTTAAATATTCTATTGATTTAGGTTTCATGAAAGTACAATTATCTATGGAAAATGGAAAACGATGGAGTACAGATAAATTATTATATGAATCTTTAAAAGATAAATTAACTATTATTACTTATGCTCATGTTGAGAAAGTATATATTGAAAATAAATTTATTAAATATAATTCTAATTTTTTTAAATTATTTCTAATTATCACAATATCTTTAATTTATTAATTATTTTAAGGTATTAATGGAATCAAATAGAGCAGTAGGAGTACAATTTGTTGCATTAAATAAAAAATTTAAAGCATTTGCAAAAGAAAGTGTTATTTTGTGTGCTGGTGCAATTGGTAGTCCAAAAATATTAATGTTATCTGGTTTTGGACCAAAAAAACACTTAGAAGATTTAAAAGTAAATTTTTTTTGTAAAATAAACTTTATATAAAGCTGTATACTTTATATTAGCTTTTCATAATAATTTAATAATTTATTTGTAATTTTTAGATAAATGTAATTAATGATTTACCAGTAGGTCAGCATTTGGTAGATCATGTGCTTACTGGAATTGACCTAGTAATGCTTAATGTAAGCATAGGTCTCAGTATGGCTAATACTTTAAATCCTATGTCAGCATTAAATTATTTTATGTTTGGAAAAGGTAAAATTATGTTCAAAATAGAAAATTCGTAATTATCATCATTCATATCAGCATATTTTATTTTAGGACCTTGGACATTTACAGGAGTTGAAGTTTTAGGAACATTTCACAGTTCTTTTCAAAAAAATAAATCAAGTATACCAGATTTAGAAATAATGGTAATGCCAGTTGGATTATCAAGAGATTATGGAATTGTTTTAAAAGAAACTATGGGAATTTCTGAAAAAGTACATTATAAACAAATCTAAAATAACATAAATTTTATATATATTTTATCTATTGACATAATTAAATATTAATTCATTTTTAGGTATACAACGAATATTTTAGTCCTAATTTATATGAGAATACAATAACAATTGCTCCAGTGTTATTACATCCTAAAAGTAAAGGAGAGATTAAATTGAGAAGTAGTAATTCTTTTGATCCACCTTTAATTGATCCAAAATATTTATCAAATGAAGATGATATTGCACTTCTTATAGATGGTATTTTATTCAACTAAAATATTATAATAATATTATAATATTATTATAATATGATATGACAGATTATTTAGAAAATTGCAAAGTATTAAATTTTTTAGGATTGCAATTCGTTAAAAAACTTATCGAAACGAATGCCATGAAAAGTATTGGTGCATCTATTTATAAAAAACATTTTCCTGGCTGTGAAAACGAAATATTTGATAGCACAAACTATTGGAAATGTTATATACAACATTTAACTTTAACTTCGTATCATCCCGCCGGTACATGTCGGATGGGTGATGTTGTTGATCAAACGTTTAAGTAATTTATTAATTTTATATATAAAGCTATTTTATTTTTTATATAAGAGTGCTAATATAATAAATATAAATTATTTATTATAGGATTTATGGTACAACAAATTTATATGTAATCGACGCATCTGTATTTCCATTTTTACCAAGCGGTAATATTAATGCTGCTGTTATTATGACTGCCGAAAGGGCTTTTCATATAATTCAACAAAATACAAAATTTCGTATAAATCGTACAAAATGTTATAAGCCATATGATTATTATCATGTACCTTATGATTAATAAATAGAAATAATTCTTCTATTTAATACATACTTTAATTTAATCTAATTTAAATGATTGAAATAAATTGAATACATTTATGCTCATATAGCAATCAAAATGAAAAAATAATCTTATTATATTATAGAAATTCTTTTTAAAAATAAAAATGCAAGATTACGAAAAATTTTACCTGAATCTGGATTTGGTACTTTTTTAAAAATAAATAAGGAATATTTTTATCAAACTAATACTAGTAAAAATTATATTTTATTTATATTTAAATTAAGATTTATTAAGAGTAACTATGTCTAATATTTTTATAATCGCGTTTGGAATAATGAATATTCTTATGATTATTATGATGGTTACTATTTTTATGTTGTTCTCTATGATAAGGATGTACTCGTCGAGACCTTCTATCATCTTTATAAGAATAATTATCTGTATGTTTCATGTGTGAATCTGTATTTGATATCATATTCATTCCGAATGTATCTCCTTTCAAATGAGACATATCATTTCCTAATAACATTTCTTGACCTAATTGAAGCCAATGATTCAAATGAACAAAATTATCTTGAGAGTTGTTAATTTGTGACAATGTGTTTTTCCTTGGGCTCATATTAAGAGGACGATTAAATAAAGATGTACCATCAAATAATTCTAAGGCATATAATACAGAATTGATATGTTTATATGTTACAAATCCATATGTTCTTTGTTTGCCATCACGATCTTTAGGAATAGTAACTCTTTGTACTGGACCACCCTATAACATCGCAGAAAATATTTTGTAAAAAATAAAATTTTAAAATAGACTTTGCAACATTAGAAGTATATCCATTTTCGTAGTCTGAAAAACAACTAAATCTCAAAATAATAATTTAAATTACATAATTATTAGAATATAATATCAAGCTATTAAAAGTATAAATGAAATTATATATGTTTAAACTACATATGTATATATATAATAGTAAATATAAAATTATTATATATAATTAAAATTTGAAAATTATTTTTTATTTTTCAAAATATTGATTTTATTAAACAGAATTGGAAAATATCTTCTCGAATATTTGTTTATATAAATATATAAATTTACAAACCTGTAAAAATAATTCATATAGAATTTCTTCTGTCACTTTTTCACTTAAATTTCCACACCAAAGAGTACGCATTTCTTCATCCATATTATTAGAATAAGATAGAAATTGTTTATTTAAAATTCTTTAAAAATAATTTTATAGATAACTAAACAAATTATGTTAAGCTGCATCCTCACTAACGAATAGTTCACGAATACTGTTTGTATATAGTTTGCAAACAGTTCGCAAATTTTTTATAACTATTATTCAAACTTTTTGTAAACATTGTGTATAATAATTATAATTATAATTCATGAACAATTCTCGAACATCAATTTATAATTTATAAATTTTTTCAATTTGAGAAGAATCGATGTATTATACACTTGATATATCTTTTTTGAAAAATCAAGATTTATAAAAAAATAATATCGAATAATTTGCGAATAGTTCTTACACAAGTCTGCAAAAAATCTTATTTCATTCTAAGCTAATAATTAATTTAATAATTAATTATATTATTTAAATATTTAAAGAATATTAAATTTAAATTATTGTGTTTTCATATTTAGAAAAATCTTAAAATCTAAAAATAAAAATAATTTTATTGTAAATACGAATTTATTAAATATTTATGAAAAAATTGCATGATAGTTGAAATATGAATGGACGATATTCGTAAATATTTGCTAAGAATTCTATATGAACAGTTCGCAAACAATATGCGAAATAGATATGCAAATAAAGGATTTTTAGGAAATTCTTATACTATTCACGAAGAACTATTTATAAACTATTATAAACTATTTATGATGAGAATGCATCTTTATAAGAACAATAAATGCATTCCAATAGTTTTTATAATTGACACTAGAGGCTATTAGAGAGCACTTGTTTGATTATATCAATTATACGAAGTCAATTCAATAAACTACATTATTCATGATTAAAATTAAAGAAATAAAATTGGCGGTACATATGTACATATATGTTTATAAGTGTTTTACTTAGTGATGTTTATATTTTTCTTTTCTTTTCAATTAGAATAGTAAATACTAAAAAGTTATATTTATTTAAAAAAATAAGTAATAAATTTATTTTATGAAAATTTATATGAAAAAATGTATAACATGAATTATAATATATTTTCTTAATATTTTTTTATTTAATTAAGTGCATATTATGATTAATAAAATATAATTTATTAATAAAAAAAATTTTATTAAAAAATACATGTAATATAATTTTTTAAAAAATTCAAGTAAACAATTATAATGTCTTCAAGATTAAATAAATGTTCTGATCATCAAATACTAACAATTCTTGATAGAAATTCTGATAATGATCAAGAACTATATGATAATATGAATGAAACTAAATTGCAAACAAAAAAAAAATCAAATGTTCAAAATATAATAAAAATTATTTCAGATGTATCTTCAGATACAGAAAATGTGTTTCAAAATTATAAATATGCATTATCAAAGAATGATATTTTACGTAAAAAAAATGTTTCTCTTAAAATTAAACTTAGAAGATCTACAGAACAAAGTTTATATAAAATTGATACAGATTCTGAATATGACAATTCTAATCTTAAATCTCAGAATAGACTTCGAAAACAAAAAAGAAGAAATTATTTAGAAACAAAAAAGAAAAATTTAGAAGTAAAAGAATCTTATAGTGACAGCAATGACAATTCTATAAAAATTGAAACAAATGATGATAAGAAAATGATACAGAAGCATGTTGAGATTGAAAATGAACAATTAAGAAAGAATAGAAATAGAAGACCACCTTTAAAACTTTCTTATTATTATTGTGATACATTGAATTCTTCAAACCTCAAAAATAATTCTCCATCATTAAGGCACAGAAAAAATATTAATTATAATGAGAATAAATTACTTATCAATTCTATTGTTTCTAACATTAAAAATGAAAATAAATTATTAAAGCAGAAAAACAACGAAACTTTAAATATTTCTAATGACAAACAGAATTTAGAATATTCAAATATAAAAAATAATAAACGAAATCGTATTCCTACAAAAAATGAAGAAAATGAAAATAGTAATACAGATATTGAAATATTGAAAACAAAATCTTTAAAAAAATCTAATAAATCTAAAAATATAAATAAATTAAATCATACTTCAAAACAACATGACATGATAAAGGAACAAAATTCATTATCACCACCAAGTATAAATAGTACACCTATTAAATCAACTAAACAAAAAAGAATGATATGTGAAACACCAAAAAAGATTCAATATGTTGATAATAATAATAGTAATGATGAAGAAGAATGTTTATCTGATATGTATAAACGTATTAAAATTTCATCAGAAATTAAAAATTCTATTTCTTTTAAAATGGATAGCCAAAAGAAGATGATTTGTGGAAATACAATAACAAATGATCAATTTGTTGATAAAAATAATAGTGATACTGAAGATGAATGTTTATCTAACATGTATAAACGTATTAAAATTTCATCTGCTAAAAAAAATAATATAAAAAATGAAAAAAACATAGAATCACAACAAAAAACTCATTTAAATACTCCAAAATCTCATTCAATAAAATGTAGCAATTTAACACCATCATTAATAAAACGGAATAATGCTCTATTAAAACCTAGTACACCATTACAGGAAGCTAGATCTAGATTACATGTTAGTGCTGTACCAAAATCTTTACCCTGCAGGGAAGAAGAATTTAATAACATTTTTACTTTTCTTAGAGGAAAATTGGAGGATAAAAGTGGAGGGTATGTCAAAAATACTGTCTATTAAAAAAATTTAATTAATTAATTATAAAAATTTGTAGATGTATATATATAAGTGGAGTACCAGGTACAGGTAAAACTGCTACTGTAAATGAAGCTATTAGATGTTTACAGAAATTGATACTTAAAGGTCAATTAGATGATTTTGATTATGTTACAATTAATGGTATGAAATTAACCGAACCAAGACAAGCTTATGTACAAATTTTAAAACAATTATATAATAAAACAGCTACATGGGAACAATCGTATTCTATACTTGAAAAAAGATTTCATAATACTACTTCTAAAATGACATTACTTCTTGTAGATGAAGTATGATTTTTTTTTTTAATATTTAATTTAATTTAATATTTTATATTATTTATCTATATTATCATTATTTTTAATTAATCTATATTATCAATTTTTAATATGTTATTATTACAGCTTGATTTTTTGTGCACAAAAAGACAAGATGTTGTTTATAATCTATTGGATTGGCCCACAAAATCAACAGCACAGTTAATTGTTGTCACTATAGCCAATACTATGGATTTACCTGAAAGAGTTTTAATGGGACGTGTTACATCGCGTTTAGGTCTAACACGATTAACTTTTCAGCCTTATAATTATAAACAATTACAAGAAATAGTTATGTCTCGACTTAAAAATTTCAATGGTTTTAGAAGTGAAGCTATACAACTTGTTGCACGGTATTGTATTTGCATTGTAATAAAGTTCATTGTTTATATAAATATTACAAAATATTTTATTCTAGAAAGGTTTCTGCTGTATCTGGAGATGCTAGACGAGCTTTAGATATATGTCGTCGTGCTATAGAAATTGCAGAATCACGAAATGCAGAAACGATCTCTCTTCAAGATGTAACAGAAGCTGTATCTGAAATGATTGCATCTGCAAAAGTTCAGGCTATAAAACATTGCTCAAAAATGGAACAAATATTTTTGCAAGCAGTATCTTCAGAAGTTATGCGAACTTCGATTGAAGAAGTATATTTTAAAGATGCATATAAGCAGCTTGAATCATTGTGTTCTTTTGATGGTTTGTTTATTCATATTTTATAATATGATATATCGATACGATAATTAAAATATATAAGAAATATATAAGAATTACAAATTTGATATTTTTTATCTTATATTTATTCATTTTCACAGGTATTGAGATACCTACTGTAACGGAAGTACTTGCTATTTGCAGGAGATTGGGTTCCAATAGATTATTAATATGTGAACACTCAAGAAACGATATATATCAAAAGATTTTATTAAATGTTTCAACAGATGATATTCATTATGCAATGCAAGAATTAGATTTAAATTAAAAATAGTAATTTTTTAAAATTATAATATAAATATTTAAAAAAATAATTTTTTAAATATACATGTATGAGTGCCTACTGTGATGTATATTACATATTTTCTCAAAAGTGCCTTAGTAAGTGCCTTAGTAGTAATTCAATAAATTGTTAATATTTTATTCAATTGATTAAATTGTAATTAATAAATTTTTGAATAAAAATGATATTTTATTAAATAAATTTCTTTATTTAAATATTAAATTATTACTATCATTATATGTAAGATCATATGAAATATATATTTATTTATAGATTTTTTTGTAGACGTTATCGATCATCAATGTGTGTCATTAATATTTATATCTATATTAACGAATTATATAATTTTAAAATTTCACTTGCGAATTATATTGTGAGCTATTAATAAATAATAGTCAATATATTCTCAAAGCAGTGTTTTATTAGTCGACTTAAAGATATCTTGTTATGTATTAAAATTATGGTTAATGAAAATATTGACGAACAAATTTTAAAGCTTTATAATGAACAAAAATGGATAGATATCATTAATTTAAATTGTACTTTAATTAACTTAGATAAAAGTAGATTATTTTGGGTTTTACCAACTATTAATGATTTACAATGGATAAAAGAAGTAATTGATCAAAATAATATAATTGGATTAATTAGCATAGGATGCGGTTGTGGTTTATTGGAATGGTTGTTTGAACAGTATTCTGGTAAGATATTCTCATAAAGTATTTTTATAGTGTCTAATCATTCATAAAAATCTAATTTTTATTGATTATTAATTAATCTTTTGAATAAAAACTAAATCTTTAATTATTTTATTTAAGGTTTAAATGTGATCGGTATAGAATTAGATCGCTCATGGTGGTGTAGTAAATATTCACCACCTTTATTTTTAAAAAATATTGTTTTCATTCGTGAAGATAATATTTTTCTTTTCCCGGATAAATATGCTCTTCTATTCTGTTATTTTAATGACGCATCTGCTTTTCATAATTATATAAAAGATTATAAAGGAAATCTTATCTTCGTTATTGGACCAAAAACAGGAGAATATCGGTGGACAAATCCAATGCCATTTGATAAAGCATTTAATAAA